CAGCATTTGAGTCAAAGCGAAATCACTGAAGGAACACCCTTGCTCTATTTTTTTGATGAAAAGCTCATTGAGCTCAAAACAAGATCAATATTCTCTTTATTATCTCATTATCGCTGTAATCGGATTTATTGCTTGTACTTTTTGCGTGGTGCGGCGCCGTGCATTTCGGAGTTTTGGACGTGGGTTTCTGTCGCGGTGCGCGCGGTGGAGCTTCGAGTCAGCGGCTCGGCGTGGCGTGGGTTTCTGTCTCGGTGCACGCAGTGGAGCTTCAGGTCAGTGGCTTGGCGCGGCGCTGTTGTGTTTGCCCTGGTGGAGGCTTGTGTTTGGAGTTCAGGAATGCGTGGCGCGACGATTCAGGACACTTCATGTTTCAAAGACACAAATGATTTTGTACTCTCTGCTTGGTCTGTGTCCGACTCGTACATGTACATCTGAATGCTCATCCTAGCATAGCTTAGCTTCTCTCTCTGTCTGTCAGCCTGTCTGTTGTAAACACAGAGCGTAGGAGCTCTTGGCTCCGCCCCCTTGTTACGATGGGCGGGAAGCCGAAACTGTGAAGCAACACGCCCATAAAACAGCAAACTGTGTAAACGCCCCTGACATGACACTTTATAACACATTATAATAAAAACATCTGAACTGTGTGTTGAACTGAACCTAAACTGGCACACTCAGAAGAACCATAATATTAATATTAAATCATAAAAAAGGGGTAAACTATGTGCCCTTTAATGCTGGTTGTGTTCTGTTCATTAAATCCACAAAGTAATAAAAAAGCACTAATCATGAATATATGATATCATGATCTTTTCATACAGAATTGCACAATAAGCCACTAAATTGATGTAATTTAAGAAACCTTAAACACTTTCAAACAACACAGAAAGGACAATTTATTGCTTAAGTTATACTTCTAATGGGAACATACTATAAGACAGATTGAAATTGAGTATTGTCAAGTGTGATTACCTATACTTGAAATTGGTCCTTTGCTTCTAACCTATCAAAATGTACACATGAGTAAGAAGTAAGAGCACACACATACAGTGAGCAAACACAGCGGAGTAGAGGGTAGTTATTGCTTTCAGTTTCTGGTGTAAGCAATTAGAGGTTAGATGCCTTTCAATGTTTATTGCTGTTGTGATTGCCAGAGGAGTTGTCTTCGCTGGTGATTACTTTCTGTTGTTTTTGCTGATTGCCAGCAGGGTGTCCTATATGGGAGACTACCGCTAAGCAAACTCCAACTCCCAGAATCCCCTGTGCTCATCAACACTGATAACAGCTGACAAGAATCTGGACACTTGCACAAAGACACAGCTGCTGCTAATTTACACTGATTACAAGGACTATAAATGCACCTCACATTCATTCATTTGGGGCAGAGTCTTGTTTGTTTCATGAACTTTATGTGTTTCTCCTCGTTTTTCACCCTTGCCTTTTTAGTTTGTTTATCCATGAACATTACAAAGTAGTGTAATGTAAAGTAGTAGTGATGGTGAAGTAAAGTTTCTGAACCAGTGAAGTGCTTGACCCAATTGTATCGGTAAAAGGTTCATTACTTGAAGCTTTCATAATCAGAGCTCGATGAGGACCTCTTCTGGTTAGAGTGTGGAAAAGCACTGTGTTGCAATAATGTCAAATGTTCATAACTGACCAACTCGTTCATGTAGTAATACAACAACAGTAATATAAAAAAAAAATACTCAATTACTTTAGGTTTTACACATAAGGTATGTCACATTACACCACCGATGACTGTAGTAAAATCCAAGGTATTCAAAAATATTTACAATTATCGTATTCCAACTAGTCCCATACCAAGTGGAGATCAAACCAGCGATTCCTACATGGGAGGCGCATGCTCTAGGAGGAGGCTATGTGAGCGATGCTATTGGGCTGCACTCGCCAACTGGCCTCCGTTAAACACTATACTACGATATGCAAGTTTTTTTTTTTTTTTTTAAAGATTATTGTAAAAAAAATACACTATTACACTTTAGTATGGTCAAAACCTTTTTACTATAAATTACTATTGCATTTTAATTTAATTACTGGTGTGTGGGACTGCAGTGCAGTCGACGCCTAATCTCTGGCTATACACTTTACCAAGTCACGTGGGTATAGGCCAAAATGAAGCTTCAGACGTCACTAATCATGTGATGATGGCAAAACGAATCAAGCTCCGGTACACTACTTCACTGTGAGATGTATCGTTTTTTTGATACATGCTAGGAAGCCTCGGCGCACAACATCACATCACTGTAAGCGTTTTCCTGGTTCCCGTGTTTTGATCTTCGCTTTGTAGTTTGTTCATTCTTGTCTGCAGCCTGTCTTTTGATCATCTGCCTGTGTTTATGACTACGACTCTGGACAGAGACAGCAAGACCTGCCAGCTGCGAGGCTTGCTACCCCCTCTATTAACAATACTATGCTGGCATCTCATGTACTCTTGTCCCCTATTCACCAGCTTAGACCTCTAGCTCACAAGATGGTCCTCCAGTCCTCTAGCTCACAAAATGGCTGCCTCCAGACCTCCAGTTAACAAAATGGCCATTGCCACCAGAACTACCAAAGCCACTGCCGCCAGAGCTGCTGCCGCCACCTGAACTTTCTGAATGGCGGGCGCCAGATACCCTTGAATCCCTTAAATGGCAGGCTACAGATCCCCTTGAATTCCTCGAATGGCGGGCACCAGAGTCTACTAAAGTCCTCAAATGGCGGGGACCAGAGACTTTTGAATTCCTCGAATGGTGGGCTTCAGAAACTTCTGAATTCCTCGAGTGGTGGGCACCAGAACCCTTTGAATTCGCCGAGCAGTGGGCACCAGAACCCTCTAAATTCCTCGAATTGCGGGCGCCAGACATCTCTGAATCACTCAAATGGTGGACACTAGAAACCTCTGAATCCCTCGAATGGCCAGCGCCAGGCACTTCTGAAATCCACGAAAGGCCACAGCCATCACCTGAGTCCCACGAAAGACCAGAGCAGTCACCTGAGTCCCACAAAAGGCCAGAGCAGTCATTTGAGTACCACAGAAGGCCAGAGCAGTCACCTGAGTCCCACGAAAGACCAGAGCAGTCACCTGAGTCGCACAAAGGGCCAGAGCAGTCATTTGAGTCCCACAAAAGGCCAGAGCAGTCACCTGAGTCCCACGAAAGGCCAGAGCAGTCACCTGAGTCCCACGAATGTCCAGAGCAGCCACCTGAGTCCCACAAATGGCCAGAGCAGCCACCTGAGTCCTACGAATGGCCAGAGTAGCCACCTGAATTCCACAAATGGCTGTCAGAGCTGTATGACTTCCCAGAGCCGCCAGAGCCATGTGACTTCCCAGAGCCGCAAGAGCCATGTGACTTCTCTGTGCTCCTTGAACCCAAGCCTCTTGATCCACTAGGTTTATATCAACTGCCAGTACTCCTTGAACCAAAGCCTCCTGACCCACTGGGTTTGAAAGAACTGCCAGTACTACTTGAACCAAAGTTTCCTGACCCACTGGGGTTGAAAGAACTGCCAGTGCTCCTTGAACAAAAACCTCCTGACCCACTGGGGTTTAACAAACTGCCAGTGCTCCTTGAACTAAAGCCTCCAGACATATCTCAACTCCACCTTCCAGGCCTTCTGCAGCTCCATGCTCCAGGTCCTCTGCAGCTCCATGCTCCAGGTCCTCCGCAGCTTCATGCTCCACCTTCCAGGCCCTCTGCAGCTCCATGTTCCAGGCTCACGGCAGTACCACAGCCCAGGCTCTCCTCCGCTGCACGGTCCTGGCCCTCCATCCCTCCCCCTGATCTTCCTTTGCTCCACCTCCTTTCTGCATTGGGCTCTGTTGTGATTGCCAGTGGAGTTGTCTTCGCTGGCGATTACCACCTGTATTTTTTGCCGATTGCCAGCGGGGTTTCCTATATGGGAGACTACTGCTAAGAAACTCCAACTCCCAGAAACCCCTTTGCTAATTAACACTGATAAAAGCTGACAAGAATCCGGACACTTGCACACAGACACAGCTGCTGCTCATTTATACTGATTACAAGGACTATAAATGCACCTCACATTCATTCATTTGGGCCTGAGTCTTGTTTATTCCATGAACTTTACAACGCATTTCTCCTGGTCTATTTTCCTGTGTTTTGACCCTCACCTTGTTAGTTTGTTTATACATGAACATTACAAAGCATTTTCCTGGTTTGTATTCCAGTGTATTGATCCTCGCTTTTTAGTTTGTTCATCCCTCTTTGCTGCCTGTCTTTTGATCATCTGCCTGTGTTTATGACTATGACTCTGGATTACCTGTTTGCCCCTGTATTGACCATTGCTTTATGGACCTTCCTATTAAAACCTGCATTTGGAACCACAAGTCTGCTCCCAGTGTCTCCAAAGTTACAATTGCATTATAAAAGTTAACCGATCATTCAAAAAGTGAGGAAAACATTTTAATATCTTTATCACATTATGTTGATAACAGTGTAACAAATATTGGCAAAGTCACAGGCAAATCAAATATGTGTAGGATTAAAAAGAAAACTTTCTAATTTTGCTACAAAAATCAGGTCATAATTGTGTTTTGTGACCCCTCTACAGAATATATGGTAACATTACATGTAGTCTCTTCCCTTTCATTGTTACTGTGAATGTTTGTCTCCATTAAGAAAAACAAATAGTTAAAGTAATACTGTTATTTTGAGTTGATATATCTAATATTTTTTTGATTTTACACAGAATTGCCAATTTTGAAAATAAATAGAAAAAGCAACATATGTGCATATAATTGCAAAAAGCAAAACATGTATTCCTGACTATGTGCCCAATTCTTCAATAAAATAACTTACAGACATCTTGCTAGCAAACAACTTACAGATATCTTGCTAGCAAACAACTATAAAAATAACTCATATTAACCAAAACTACAAATATATTTTACTCTAATACGAATGCTTCTCTCTCGCTCTCTCTCTCAGAAAATTGTTGAGTTGAGTGATCTACGTGGGACCCACCCCCAGACACCTCACCTGATCCATATCTTCATTGAGTACGTCCCAGCCTCCTAGTTGTTGACATGGTACTACTCATCAGTCATACTCTTCCGACATCTTTCTCGCAAACTCCGTCTGGCAAAGAATGTTGCCATATCTCAGTAGAGAAGCCATGATCCCTTCTCTGCTTTTTCTTGCGTATGCGCTCTGTCTCTCTCTTCTTTTGTGGTAGCCGTATAGTCACATTTGTCAATAAAAGTGCATATTTTCCTTCTTGTTGTTTACTGATTCACTCTATCCAAAAATATGATCATGGTCTTCTATAGTGCGTTTGTTTTGCAAACTTGCCTCATCTCTCTTGCTGTCTCTCCCTCCTCTGTATCCCCTCCCCCGCCCCATTTATCTTTGCCTCTACACGCAGAGCGTATTAAAGGCTATGGCTGAGCAAGAGGATCAGACCTATGGATCAGACGGATAGTAAGATAGGAAGGTCATATGACTTCAGATAGCGCTAGAGCAGTTTCCAACAGCAGTCATATCGGTTCCTTTATGGAGATTTTTGTCTAGCTTGTTAATATCCTTCTCAAAAATCTTATCCAATATATATGTCTCAGACTGATGGGTTGCCATCATGCGGTATTTCTAGCTGTCTCGGGATCCTGGGATTAGGATTTAACTAATAAGCGTGTGTGTGTGTGTGTGTGTGTGTGTGTGTGTGCAGTCATGTGCATGTTATGTATTAATAAATACACATACATAAAATACAAAAATATACAAAGCAAAACTATTTGCAAACACACACACACATTGCCACAGTCAGGAGTGATTCAGCCTGTGCAGATTGCTGTAGAACTACAAATCTGACACTTTAATGAACTACAAACGCCATCATGCACTTCACATATCATCAGTCTTCTGTCACGTAAGGTTCTGCGACAACAGAGGTGAGAATCCACATGCAGTTTATTAAGAACAGATGTCAGGCAGGCAACTGTCAAACAGTTAGAAAACAGGAACATAAAGGTCATCCAAGATCATAGTCAAAACAGGCAGAAGGTCAGGACAGGAGGCAAAAAATCTATATAAACAGTAGGACAAGGCAAGGGTCAAAACCACCTAGGCAAGGAAACGTTATCAAACCATTCTTTCACCAGTCTTACTGTGTGTATTGGTGCCTTATCATCCTAAATTCACCACACCGTCTTTGGGATACAACGTTTGAAGCATATGGTGCATATGGTCCTCCAGAAGGGTCTGGTAATTCTTGGCAAAGGTGAACAAATTTATCACAATGTGCTTACCTGAAGCTCTGAAACAGAAACATGACTCAGCAATGTGAAACTCAATGGGAGCAGTTTATATATTCTGTGTAAATAGTCCTTAAGCAGCTCTCCGCTCTCTGTGGGTAATCAAAAGTGTGTGGTGCATGACAGGGTTTTTAGTTCCTATGGTGACAGGATTCTTCATTTATTTTCTTTTTTGGCTTAGGCCCCGTTTACACTAGTGCGTTTTACCCAGCGTTTCTAAACTGCTATCCGTCCACACCAAAACACTGAAAACGCACATTACGTGACCACACACACACTCTTGGGCAAGCGCTGCAGCATTTCTACCCAGATGAGAGCTGTGCTGGTCGGACTGGTCATTAAGCATCTCCCGCTGGATCTAATCTCACTATATTTGCTAAACGTAATATTTAATTAATCTTGTCTATATCTAACGACATATTCCCTGACTTTGGTCTTTTGAATCGATTACTTGCTCACAGGTAACGTGTTTTGGCTGAGCGCAAAGGTAAGTTAATAATTAATGGAACCACGTACATTCTATATACTGACTGATTGCTTGCCTTTATTTCCTATAATGTATAAACGTATTGTGCGTTATACTTTCATAATGGATATTACGACCTTCTTGCTGTAAGGCGACAGCACTACCTACTGCGCCACTACTTTGCCCCTTCAATGTATACAAAAATTTAAAAATTCATTGAAAAATAATTTGAGATAGTTCAGTGTACAATTTTTAGCCATCATTAAATGATAAATAATAATAAATATATAACATTTACCACTAGATGGCTGCAGAACTTTACGGTTTGCTGTTTGACAAACCGAAAGATGTTTTTTTTTTTTTTTAGATTACTTTCTACATATTATGAAACCCAATTTTTAGAATTAGTTTTTCAATATTGATACATCAGACTCGGCTCCAATCAGGAGCTTGGTGCACCCCATCCCCAGATCAAATGACAACACATTTTTTGCAGTGTGATTTATAAATGAAAAAACAGCATATGGTGTGACCGTGGCCACATTTTAGCTCATTCTAAAAAATTCTTGCCATTTTAACAATTTTAAACAAATCAACCAGCATTATATGAAAGAAACCTAATAAGATTAAAGAGATCATGTATCACAGCGCGCATTTCTGAACACATTTGCCATTTATATTAGTTCATGCAGCCGTAGGCATAAAATAGAAAGTCTTAAAGAACAAACAGTTAAAGGGATCGGTTATTGTGAGTAGGATCTACTCGCACTCACAGAAGCACAATAACTTTACATAATTTTCTCACGGAAAGAACAAATGTCAAGATCACTAAGAAGTGCACAGAATAATTAAATGAGACATGGACAGATGAGTTTTAGTCCTCAAGTTTGTTCTTACAAAATCCAAACACAGAGCACAGCATTTTGTTAGTGTAAAATATATTTATATTTTGATACTTAAATACTAATACAACCTTATTTTCGTTTTTACTCTCATGCTCTCTTTTCTCAACAGCAACAAGTTGACACATGCTGCATTATGACCTGTAGCTATAATAAACACTTTCGAGAGGTTGGTAACTGCTCTGATTCCAATATTTTAGATCCGATTAAATAAATATGGCAGCCAAGTAAAGTGCTATCGATTTTCGTGTTGTCCCTTTTCCCTTTAAATCTCTCAAGTTAGTATGTGGGATCTGCTTTAGTTATTGGATTTTTTTTATCCGACAAAAGAAAAACTTTAAAAAAGGTCAAAACCATTAGATGGTTTAGATGCTGCTTTGAAAATTCAGTATTTAAAATTTAATATTGAATTAATATTGAGAAATTAAGTTGTTTCAGTGAGCAGGTCAACACATATACGGAGCGCTATGATCAAGCATAGCACATACAACCATAGAATGTATGTTATATCTGGTATAAAAATATTATATAATATATGTTAGCTATCTACCACTAACAAGTAGGCTAAAAGGCCTAAGATCTGCTATTTATAAATGCTTGTTTATATTAGTTGATAAACAAATACTAATGCCCTAGTTGACTCTTGTGCATTAATTAATAATAATATTGAGAGGGTTTTTTGTTTAATTTTAAATAAAAAAAAATAAAGAAAGAAAATGGTAGCATATTGATATTTTTTAAGGTATTTTTTAAGGTATCAAAATTGGAAATTTCACTAACATGACAACACTAGTTGCGATTATTGCTGTCATGATATTAGCAGGGGCGATCTCCCCGCTTCCTCTCTGGTTGCCTTGCATTCCGCCTGGGCTCTTGCGTTTTGGCCGTCAGCTCCGCTGTATTCACCCCTCATAAACTGAGAGGGTGCTCGCTGCAGAGCCATTTGAGGAGAGCTGAGCTCCAGCGAGGGGGAGCATGAGCTGTCGCTCCTCCTCCTGTAAGCTGTTTTAATGCGTACACCAACCCCACCCCTAACCCTACCCCCAGTGACATCACTCGTAAAAGAAGTGCAAAAAAGGTGGAGCTCAAGCTTAAGCTCCCCCTCGCTGGAGCTCAGCTCTCCTCAAATGGCTCTGCAGCGAGCACCACTTGGATAAACTGCCAAATTGGATCGCCATGTGCCCTCTGCTGGACTTCTCTAGTATTGTTTTGTATTAACTATTTTTTTCTTGGCCCTTTATTGACAGGCATTTTGGATACCAGTGTGCCCCCTGCTGGACTTCTTTAGTATTGTTTTATTAACTTAATTTTTTCTTAGCCCTTTAACTGGCGATTTGGATTGCTGGGCACTCTTTGCTGGACTTCAGTATTGTTTTTTGTGCCTTTCTGTGAAGATTCCCAGATCCCTCTGCTGTTTTTTTTTTTTGTTTTGTTTTTGTTAAGATTAAACCCTTTCTGCAAGTCATTGAAGAGCAATAAATTGTGTTTACCTGCACTTGATTCCTCTCCTAATTTTTTTTTTTACCCCGACAGAATGATATGGTGCAGGGTGTACTCTTGGGTCAGCATGCCACCCAGCTCACCACCACCTCCAGAGAGGTTGAGATGCTTACTGATTTGAAAGCCATGTTTCAGCAGTCAGAAAAGTGCTAAAAAGACTGAAGCAGTATGGTATTAAATATAAAATCCAGTAAACGTGAGTTATTCAGAACCCAAATTCATTACCTTAGGAGGATATTGTGTGCTGGTAGAAACAAAATGGACTCTGCCGACACTGTTGCTATTAGTATCTTTGGCTGTACTCACACTAGGTACAGTTGCTTCGAACCGGGCCATAGCACGCTTGTCCCTCCCGTCTCCCCCGACGGCTTGCACTCACACCACAAATGGGCCTCGGCACGCTTACGTCATCGCTGCTGCGCTGTTCAGTGAGAAGCGCTCTCTCACTCAGCAGCACAGTGGAGATTTCTCTAGTTATATAGTTTCAGTCATTTGTTATTTAGTGACATGCAGTCAAATATTTCGCCAAACAGTCCTTAGGGATGCGCTGACACGCAGTCAGATATTTTGCCGAAATATTATAAACAATATTAAAAATTATAAACAATCATAAAGCCCTCATGCTGAAGAAATGAGGAGGTCTGCTGAAGCCGTGCTGCTGTCGTGCTGTGAGGAGTTCTCGTCTTTAATAAACTACGGCAGTTTGCGTTCACTGAACAGTAAGAATGATTAATAAATCCATATGAAACAGACCCTTAAAAGTCACGTCTCACTTTCAGTTTCGGGCTTTTCCGCGTTTTGCACTCACACACAAGCGTACCACGCCAAAGCCCAAGTGAACCGCGCTCAGGCACACCTCTTCCAACCGGGCCAGGGCCGGCCAAGTGAACCGTGCTTGAGCCCGATTCAGCGCACTCACACTTCTCAAACGATCCGGGAAACGGGCGATACGGATGGCATAGTGTGAGTAGGCCCTTAAAAGAGAGAAAACCAAGTACAGTTGGGAGTTGAGACAGGTTATAGGGTTATTAAGCTATTATCACCATTATGTGAGAGATTTTGCCTGTCACACAGAGTCGTTGTTAGGGTATGTGTGAAACAAGACAAAAATAAATGATGGCTCAGTCGACGTAGTACTATGGTGCGAAGGTGCATTTATTTACATTGCAAAAGTGTCCAATCCAAAAAATCCCAATAATAAAGTAGACAAAATGTATGTACAAAAACAAACAACAAAAAATAATAATAATAAAATAAAGACAATAAAGTACCAAAATAATGTTATACTAAATATTCGCTTTCCAAAATTAAGACTTTCTAACCAATCCTTTACACTACTACTCACCCCTAAACTTCTACGACTCCCACCATGAACTTCGACTCCGCCCAATTATGGCTTCAGCCATTTGCAGGCGAGTAGATGATATGTTTCTACATAAAACATTCTTCAGGTAAGTTTACCTTTTATGTCAAAATACATACTTTGTATAAATATCTTA